GCCCCCCCCCCCCGGACAATACCCCTCAAGACAGCCCCACCCCTATTCCAGGAAACAAAATACACAGCTTTTTCACTATGTACTTGAGGCATTCACACATTTCTTGAATATTTTACTGAATGTAAAAAAGAAGACAAAAAATTAAATAAAAACAATGACTGGATATTGATTATAAGACTCGGTAGGCTCATTACGCGCTTAAACAGATAGGTAACTTTAAATTTTAAGATGCTACAGATGCTATTGGTACAAATTTGACATTACTTGTCATTTTTTAATAAAACAAATACTATACCATTTTATCAATTTTCTATACAAATTTCACTTGATTAAGGGGAAGAGGGGTAAAACAGTTAATAGTGTCAGTTCATCAAAGGGATTCCTAGATGAGTGAGATTATTTGTTTAATCCGCCTCTACCTGGAGATACATTTTGATTAAAGGCAGTCATTATTTTGCTTCAATATCACACTGTCCATGCTCAGATTGATATCCATTACAGGAAGGGGAATTGCCCAAAGGCAATTGTCCGGGGGGAGGGATTATCGGGGGATAGGGGGATTGTCCTGATACCCTATACATAATACACCTCTTGTCACAGTTATCAACCATTACGTACGCCAAATAGACCAGTCACTTAAATAAGCTACCTTCTTTGCTTCATCTTGCTCAAAATGCCAGTCGATAAGAGACTTGGTCATATCCTCTAAAGTGTAAAGGACTTGGTCGATCATGGCACCCTCCATGGTACTATTCCCATAAAGCCCTAGAAAGAAAGAATAAAGTTGTAAAAAAAAAAAACACTGAAATAACTTTAAGATTGAGTCCAGACTGATGGCTAGAACTTGTAGCACAGCCGCTGTCTTTGATCCACGCTTAAAAGTTTTTTCTATAAGGTAATCTCTTATGTGTTTACTAGTAAGCGAAAACTACAATGCAGAAAATCTTTGATTATCTGTCACATTCCTTACCGTGTTCTCGAGCCACATAACGCGCCATAGCCAAACTCTGACCAATCTTCTTCCCGTCCACCTCCATGAATGGGCTCTGTCCGGTGGGGCTCACTGTAAAATGAGTGAAGTTACGCCAAACGGTAAAACTTGACTATGACGCCTGGCCTGGGTGTCAGATCCATGAAGCTTCGTTATTTTTAAATTGCGTGGATATGTGAAGATTTAAAAATGAAGAATGCTGACACGCATAAAATCTGAATCTTAGGGTCTAAAGCTAACAAGGCAGAATATGTAACAGGCATAAGGCTTCAGACCCATGAGAGTTGAAATTCACATATTACAATGCCACAATGAGAAAAATTGAAATTTTACAAAAAAATTGCACAAATTTAAGAAAAATAATGTTATCTAGCGGGCTTTCCAATAAGAGCTGTATGTCAATCCTAAGAATCATTCTTTAAGTTAGAAAATAAAATGTAACACGGTTTTCCTTTCAGAGCTTATTTAATTGCAATGCAAAATGTTTTAGTCAATTGGGACGCAATATTACATAATGATTAACTACATAACATGGGCATATAAAAATGTTATAACTGCCATACGGCGTGCTTATGCCATCGGGAGTTTAAGTCCCACACTGAAAATGCCAGTATGTGAAAAATGAACATTTCACAAAAATTGCATTTACTTCCAGAAAAATAGTCTAATCAGGCTGCTTTTCCACTTTCAGCTGTATTTTAGTCCTATGAATATTTCCTGTGAGTTTTGGAATCATAAGTATCATGGTTTTCTTTCAATGGTCATTATGGCGGCAGTGCCCAAAATAGGGATTTCTTCAATTTGATGCAAAATTACATAATACTTAACAGCATAATGACCACCAAATTTAATATTCATAAACGGATATTGGATATTCAGAAAAATATAATTAGCAAAGGCTTTCAGGCCCATGGGAGTTCAAAGTCACACCTTGAAATTGCTAATATGTGAAAAATAATCATTTCACAAAAAAACTAACTTCCATAAAAATAGTGCAATTAGACTGGTTTTTAAACTCAACCTGTATTTCAGTCCTTTGAATAGGGGAGACCGGGCCTAGTTGGACCCCGGAGTAAGTTGCCCCCCCC